CGATTCATTCTTGAAGCGTAATGTTTAATATCAGTAGGAGCCGGTGATTTTTTTTGTTGGATTTTTTAAACCTTTCCATAGAGAGTACAAACTTAATCCCGAGAGCATATATATAGCCATCCATAGTCAGTTTGTTTCGCTGTATCACAGCTCCTCACTGTGACTGGACGTTCAATTGTTTCAGTGTATCAGTATATATATATATATATATATATATATATATATATATATATATATATATATATATATATATATATATATATATATATATATATATATATTGCAAAAACAGATACGCTACTCACGAGCTCACCCGTGAACCCTACGCAGCACTGGAAGAATGTGTATATATATATATATATATATATATATATATATATATATATATATATATATATATATATATATATGTGTGTGTGTGTGTGTGTGTGTGTGTGTGTGTGTGTGTGTGTATGCTGATTTCTTTTTATAACACAGTATGCATATCTGGCTAGGGAATATAAATGTGCATGCTAATGTGGACTGGCACGATATATAAAAATGGAAATAGATTTGACAGTCTCAAGTGTAATATATGGGATAGAAAAACATCCCTCATCAATTCATCTATCCTCACAACAACTCAGACCAAACCTAATGATTTTTATTACCACCTAGGTAGAAATTCACTTTTGCCAACAGTCCAGAAATGAGAACAAGTCTCACTAGAAATACAAAAAAACGAACAATGAAACATTGAGTGATATAAGGAAAATTTACTCATTTTATTTACCTGAAGAAGGTCACAAGACCGGAAACACGTGTAGCAGAATTATGAAGAATAAAATATAATATATACACTAAAACAAATTTACATTATAACCGAAAACGTTTTCAGTTTATTTCTTTTAAAATAAAAAATACATTTTTCTCTAGTTGGAACATCTATAACCGTTTCCTTATATATATTTATATATATATATATATATATATATATATATATATATATATATATATATATATATATATGGACAAAAATCGTCAGAAAATGTATATTATTCAGCCAATGATGCTCGTGGACAGTTGGTTGAATTTTCTTGAAATATTCTAATAAATACTCACAAAAATATGCATGTGTTACAATGGTGTGAAATTGCGTAATGTCTTGATCATTTAAAATTTAATTTTAATTTTATATTTTTTTAAATTTGCTTAAACTATACATGTTTGCCAGTAAAACGAATTATCAAAGAAATAATGCACAGTTATCGACTGGGAACTCCGAACAATGTAAATGAGGAGGAAACTAAATTTCCACATAAAATCTTGAGCAAGTACTTTAGAAGAGTAATTTTCTTATCGACATGGAAAGCGCCTAATCTCCAAAAATCATTATGTAAATGAAATAATACAACATATGATTACTCTAAATTGGAAGAATCATTACAAGAGTTTTATAATATTAAATGAAAATGAATTCTTAATTCATTTAATTAATATTTATTTCTTATCAGTTATGATTCATCCAAGTGAACAAATATACAATAAATTTATTCCTAAATGATCTGAAGCTGGAATTATTCGGAAGCCGTACAATATTTGCTTAATCCTCAAATGAATTCCTTTAGGGCATTGGTCATGAAACATTTCTAATGAAACGCATCATATTATGATTATGGTACTTCTTATTTGTACGTTAGTCTGAGTACATATTGTATACTACCTGAGATAAATACTGAGCAAGAACAACTAGATGAAAGCAACACTTGATAAAACAATGCTTAATTATATACATTAATATATAGTATATATAGTAATATACAATTCCACTATCCACAATTACATATGTGGTGTAATAATGAGCCTTAAATCTAATATGAAACGATGGCGGCATTTTCATTTTCACAATAGTATCCTAGATTTTTTTTCATAATTTTCTTTGATATTTGAAATAACGTATACATATTGATTTATTCATTTGGGGTAATCATTGATTGTTATACCATGTACCTTATAGCCAACTTCAGATTTCCATTAATATTTTCGTGATATGGGATATGTTATTTTTAAAAGTGTTTTCTTGTTAACAAAATGATAATTCATTATACAGTGTTTCAATAATAATGATGCAAAAAGAAAACAAGATTGGTAACTTCTTTCATTGGTTAATATGAAAAAGTGACAGGAACTTTTATAAATCTGAAGAGTAAAAGGAATATTGTATGATGTTATTCTTAATCTGTGAATGCTATTGAGGAATCGGTAAATGGCTTAATTCTCAAAATGAATGTTGAGATGCTATGAATCAACTAATAGGTAGATTTAATAAATTTAGTAAAGAATATCTGGCAGAGGCGAGGTTTGATCATCGAATGATGAGAACATCAAATATATTAAGTAGGAATTGAGGATGTTTTAAGAAGAGTAACTAATAAGAACTGATATAAATGGAAGAGACATCGGAAATGTTGAGTCTCGGAAAATGCAACACACATAAGTCATACACAATATAAAAATATGTATGGAAAACTGAGATAAACAAATTTATCAAATATGGGCAAACATGTAGCAGAACAAAAGCGGTAAATTTCCAAAATCTTTTTTATGAAGTATAAATATTTTTTTTTTATATTTTTTACATTATTCGGACTATTGTCCTCATCTTTGTCGCCAAATTTATTACAACGTTTCGGCCATTGGACGCTCCGGCCTTTTTCAGGTGTTTGGAATGTCGAACTGAACACTTTATTTCGCTCATGGGTGGTAGACTGTTTTAGTTCCATGTGCAATGATTGTCAATTATCAGTTATCTCCTGTTAATTTTCACTCTGAAAGTTCTCCAATGCCTTAGCAAGGTATTGAACTCACACTCTTGGGTTCTGTCACTGGATCTAACCAACGCCTTTATCCACTCTGCCATGTGTCCTTGAATAATGTTTACAACGCCACTGATGAGATTATATTATTTAAGTGACATTTGCGGTTACGTCATGAAAGAAAATTAAACATTTAATATTGCATTAAAGTTTTTGAACACTAATGTTGACTCTTTAGCAAGATTCCAGAAAAGTGTCCCAAGTGATAGAAGTGAGAGAGAGAGAGAGAGAATATACTGTTAGCATAGAACTTACGGTTACGTCTAGCAATTTCAACTATAGCATAATGAAAACTGAGCGCCAATCAAGTACACTGCTTAAACTCTTAAAGTCTAAGTACTATAAAAGAACGTTCATGGTGTGGGACTTATGCTCAGAAAGGTGATGAAAATAAAAGAGAAGGATATAAATGAAATCGACTAGATTAAAAAAAATCCCAGGATCCTTTTTTTTAAGCAGGTATTGTCGCACCAACATAACAAATTTAGTCCGATGAAGTCCTAAATGACGAATCGCGTCACAATAAAACATTTTTTTCACGTTGTCATATATTTTCTACCAATAGCTCTTGATATATAAAATATCTTTATTTCGCAGCGAATGCAGAAGTAGGAATTATGAAATAAATGGCTATAAAAACGTGGAAGTTAAAGCAATGTGGACATTTGACCAGACAGCGATTCTTCTCTAAGGCCATTCTATTAGGAACGGTGCGAATAGGAAGGAGAAGGGCAAAACCATGGTCAAGATAGTTGGCCATCAACCTCAAAGGAATCAGCAAAAAAACATTAGGGAAATCTTATATTTTAATTAGATAGATTAAATTTGAAAACGAAGGATATCTTATCCTATTACGCAGTAAGAAATCCGAAGTAGACGTGTTTATTTGATATGCAATTAAGAACAATATGTCGGAGACAGCAATTACATTAATTAATCTGTAGTTGTTACTGTCTCATGTGGGTAGCTTTTTTTTTCTATTTTTGCTATTCGATCTCTGTATTATTTTGTGATGTGTATAAGATGTTGTCTAATATTAATGAGGTCATCATGACTGTTATGAATGTGCTTATTTACATAACTTTCTGACAATAAATAACTTATAAGTTTTCGAGAATTCCTTTCGTTGTGTAACATATAAGATATATAGTGTTTACTGTTTACAAAGCACAATCTCTTTTTTGAATTAATCTGTTAGTTTTATTTTTCCGTAATAATTATTAAATATTAAAATATTTAAACATGGGATATCACAAAGTAGTATCATTTATTTATCTTTTCATGGCATTTGTAATTGTGATGCATCTAAATTCTGCACTATATTTGATTTCAGAAGAAACAATTTCTAACGAACTAGCAGTAGCAGAGTAAATTATCAACATCCGTGTATTGCGAATAAATTCACTCAGCACAAGGAAGACACCATCCTCGTTTTCATGGACATCAAAAAGCCGTAGGACCGTGTGTCGAACGAAGTCCTGTCGAGTAATATTAAGATATATAATATCAGCTAAGTGTTGATTGAAACATTTCAAAATTTCAACAGACCGACAGTGCTATACTCGCCCAGGGATGAGTTGGGGACAGGTATGTCACTTCGATCGGCCTGCTGCAAAAACATCTGCTCTCTACTACACCCTTTTACTTATTTCCTTGAAAGAATATTAGATGCCCTTGAAACTTATGTAACCACACTCAGCATGAGAGGGAAAAAGAGTATATACAGCTGAATGTGAAGAAATGCCTTGTTAGTGGAGGTGCAATGGACGAACCATCTTCCAGATATGGTATGGAGATAAGAGCAAGAAAAAAAACTGATGAGAAATAGACGGTGGACATCAGGAAAACATTTCCAGTCAGTGGTATGTACCTGGAGGCTGAGGAGTTAATTCAAATATATTGGTACAATCTTCCGCCAAACTGCATCCAAGCCAGGAGTCAATGCTAAACTTGTGTTAGAAAACAACCGAGATTACGCGCTTGAAACCGATCTGGAAAGACAAAAAGTTTCCATTAAAAATAAACTGAGATCATTAGGTTTCGGTTCTCCTGTCTACATAAGATTATGCATGAACAGCATGAAAGCAAAGGTGGCGCAAAGCTGCACAGATAAGATACTTCAAACGTATGATTGCTATTTCCTACGCCGACCGCGTCACGAAAGAGGAGGTGCGAACAAGTGTCAATCATGAGATAAATGGCTATAAAGACGTGTTGACCGCCATAAAGAGGTTGGAAGTTAAAGCGGCATAGACATTTAAACAGATAGCGAGTCTTCTCTAAGGCCATTCCACAAGGAATAGTGGGAGGAGGATGGAGAAGGGGAAGCCAATGATACCGATAGTAGGCCAACCTCGTCGATGGAATCAGGAAAAAAAAATTGCCCATATTCAGCCGATGAAAAATCCGTCACGATACACACCGGTTATAGTAGAAGAAAAATAGAAGAAAGAGAATAAGTTAATGTTGATATATTAAGCTTCTCTTGCGAGGTATTAACATTATCATATGAGAAAATATTAATTAGATAATCAACAATATAAATAGGAAACCGTTATTAGTAATTTTTTTGTCACTTAATTCTTTAAGAAAGATAGATATAAATGGTGGGATTATTAAGATCATTGGATTAAAATGACGAGATAGGCATGTTTATGTTTAAGTTCGTTGACATTTAGATGACAAGAATTGAAACTAGATTTGTGATTTTCATAATTAATAAGCACATCTTAAAAGCGGAATTGTTTTATTAATATCTAATTCAAAATTGAAATTTAACAATGAATACATTTGGAAATTATATTCATGTTCCATAATATCATCAGTTGTTTTATGTAGAAAAAAATATCATCAGCATATCTCAGCAAATAGTGAGTTTAATCAATTTATTAAATATTTTTTTCTCGGTGGAGTATTTAACTTCTTTTTATAAATTTGGAGAGAAGAAGGAAGATAATATTAAAAAGAAATGACTTGTTTTATTACCTTGGGCGTAAGAATATCGGGTTTCAAAATATATTGATGCAAATATTTATATTTTAATTATTAAAAAAGATCAACATAAGACAAAATCAGTCCCACATTAAAAAAAGTAAATGTGATACCAAAATTTACATTGTTCATTGCATATCTAGAAAAGGCCATTCGCACTGTCTGCATCCATAGTTGTAACATGTAGTGAATAGGAACCTCTGACTTTTGGAAAGGTTCTATTAACTTTAAACATGAAATTGCAGCACGATTGGCGTTTTTCATGAAATCACACATTCATATAAATAAGTAGAGACGAAATCGTTGACAAAGCCATTTTAATGATAAAGATGATTATCTCCCTTTGGTGGAGATGAGTCACTTAGATCGCTGCATATAGTGACAAGAGCAGCAGTCAATTCCAGTTAATTTTACCGCATCTGCCACGAAAGTTCGATTTATTTAACTCACCACCATCCATGTTCCGGGCAGAAGCTGAATTTTCTTTCCCGGCTTCTTACAAGACCATAGTGTCGTTTCACTTTGATAATATATCTTTCCCAGATATGGAATGAAATCCAGCCCGTAGTACTTGAGAAAACTCCAGACTCGCTGTCTCCCGTTCGTGAAATATATTCTATCTTGGACATAGATGATCCGGCTCGTTTCATCCGGAATCCTAAACATAGATTCTGCAGACGCAGGGGTATCTCCATATTATATGTCAAACACTTCCTTTTTGTTTCTGCTTAAGCTGCACTTTGCTCTGTAGATATGTGTTAAATGTTATTCTCAGCGTTGGACAAAATTGTATAAATGTATATCACTATGTATATATCTTCGAAGTATAAATGTCACTCTGTCATTCTTTGTCCTTTCACTATTCCTCTCCATCCGCGAACTACGGTGTTGTTAAAACACTGATATGATATTGCCCATAATGGGGGAAATAAAAAACAGGAAAACCAAAATCCACCATTTTCGAGAAAGATATTTCGTAAATTGAAGAGGAATATGGACAGACACAACTGATAACATTATGATTATACAATTTAATAATAATTATATATATATATATATATATATATATATATATATATATATATATATATATATATATATGTGTGTGTGTGTGTGTGTGTATATATATATATATATATATATATATATAATTATGACTATGACTATATACTTTAATAATGACAATACAAATAATATATATATATATATACATATATATATATATATATATATATATATATATAGAGAGAGAGAGAGAGAGAGAGAGAGATTGATAGGCAGATGGACAGATAGATAGATATAGATAGTAGAGGAAATCAAACCGTTGGTATATAATCGGGGAGGATTCTAATAATATTAATTATTATAACTGGTCCACAGAGAGCTCGATGTATTTTTTTTTATTTCTACAGCAAACAAACAAAATACCTCAACAAAGAGATACTCTAATTCAGGCCTTTCAATTCGCGATTATCATCAGTCCCTAAGTTTCTTATTTTATCTCCGGTGAATCGTTCTTGGGGTTGAAATTTATTTATGACTATGAACATTTTTGTTTGTAGTTTGATATCAGTTCCTACCATATCAGTTCCTACTATGGGGCGTTTCTTATACAGGCACCGAATGTGTTTTTCTGTGATTCACAGGGAACATTTTTTGTACAACAGGCGTCCAATATTATTAATAAGTGATGTGGTATTTAAAATTTAACCTGTTAATATTAATGTAAATTAGTTGAGTTACAGATTCATAGATTGTGGGTAATATCCGAGAATCTAAGAGAAAAAATGTGTTGGATAGTATGCCTTATTTCACTAAAAACAAAATGGTTCTGGCCTTGTTAGAACTGTGTAGAGAGTTAGGTCCACTCTAAATTGTCCACACATCCAGCCTTATGCTACATCTATACTGCGCCTTGAAAATCACCATCTTAGTCAGTAGTTTGTTGGGAATTATTTTAGGTTTCTACAAATACCGGGTTTAACATCCTAATATACATGTGGATTTTTTCCAGCCACCTTTCCAAGAAATGTAAAAAAATAAAATATTCACATACATATACAATATAGACAATTAATTCTTAATAATGTTTAAAATATCCCAAGAAAACCGGGTAAAATCATATCATATTATTCTCATATAATTATCGTTCAAATCTACTTGAAATATTTTCAATATAATTCAAGATATTATTCCCAAAAGATTTATAATAGCCTAATACGTGAATAAAAATCAGCCAGGCAACACAAGGAATTTACAACTGGTTACTCAACTAGAGATCATTCATCCAAAATAGATAATTAAAATAGAAAAAATCCGAAAACAAAACAGATTCCATAACAATAATAGTAATAATAATAACAATAATAATGATAATAATAATAATAATAATGATTGCTAAGTAGAAATTACCAATCACAATTACTGAAAAGTTGTGTAAATCCAAAATTCTGATACTCTAAAAAATTTCCAGAAAAGTTTGACCATGTTGTATCAAGTTGCGAAGTAGTGGCATAAAATAGTGGAACATAAAACAGAGCACGACAGATTAGGTCAATATATGCTCTGAAATATCTGCTCTGAAATATCTGCTCTGAAATGTCTGCAACATTTACGGAAAGGAAACTACAAGATATTGGTATGAACATCACACAGACCGGATTAGGAACATAGGACTTTTAACAATTTTATGGGATTTACAACACTCACGGACAGAACAATCAAAAGTAATTTCTCTGCTATTGTGATTAGATAACGAAATGACAAAATGTGCCTCCTCATTGACATGGCGTTTCCTGCAGACTGCTGTGTATCTCTGAAGATCTTAAAAAAAAACTATCGAAATGCAAGGAACTTGAAATCAAAATCTAAATAATGAGGCCCATGAGGACATTAACAATTCCAGTAGTAGTTGGAGCATTCTGATTAATTGGAAAGGATTCCGATAGCCACATTGATGCCCTTGTGTTCCATACCTTAAAGAAATACAAAAGATAGTACTCACTAGTACAGCCTCCTCCTTACGAAGGGCTTTATCTCTATAAAATATGTGCGATATTTTTTTCAAAACTTCTCAGTGGAAAATGCCACGATGTCATTTCTGAACTTAGGTCACTTGTCATGTCCCAGAAAGAAATGTGTATACAACAGAAAAAAAAATCATAATACGTGTCCCAACTGGAGATCTAATTTCAGAAATGGCTTCATGACATTTTCCACTGAGTATTTTTGTAAAGAAATAAAATAAAAATAAGATCACAGATATTGTACATAGATAAGACACTTCGTAATGTGTGAGCTGTATTTGTGACTACAATATTTTTTTTTATTTCTTTAATGTGTAGGTTACAAGGTATTCCTTAAATGAATCTATCGGAAAATTTTCAAAGCAATACGAGTGTTCCAAAACAACTGTAAAATACTGATGACCTCATGTGACAGACTTTTGAGAATTGTACTTCAAGATACGTTTATTTGGATATATTTTGATGATCTTCAAATATACATAAAATAAGCAAGATCTGCCGTGTCAATAAGAAATCACATTCTGTCTTTTTGGTCTTCGATCACGATGTCTAAACGATTAGAGTTGTTTAGTCTGTCTAGGTGTATTGTAAAATCCTATAAAATTCTTATAGGTCTTATCTCTGTAAGGCTCTTTGGAGTAATGGATAGCGGCTCGGATTGAGGAATCGTAGAGCCGAGTTTGCAATCATGTCAGATCCATTACATGTACTTACGCTCTAATACCGTTAGGAAAAGTATGAATCCACTTCTTCTCCACAATGAAATGGGTAAATAGCAGGATAAACTGGGTTCTATAGCCTTGAATGTCTACTGCAGGGAAAAGATCTGCCTCGTCAGTAATGTATCGAATGATACATGATTGCCTAATCATTTATGTGATATGCCTGATCGCATGGCACATAACTCTCTGATCTCTGGGTGATATTCATACGAGTTTAACTGCAGTTTCCTTCGCGTAAAATTTGCATATTTTCCACTGCAGATATTAATTAATTTTTAATATTATAATTATTATATTATTATTATTATTATTATTATTAGTAGTAGTAGTAGTAGTAGCAGTAGCATTAGTAGTAGTAATATTGCTGTTGTTGCGGTAGCCAATACAAAATAGCTTATCGTGTATATTTTCATATTAGTGGAAGTATCAATAAACATTATATAAACATTATCTAACATGGTTTTACAAAAATACTGACAAAATTTCCAGAGTGTAGGAGAGACAGAAGATGAAAAATGCTTCATCGCTTCCTTATACCGTACCAGTATTTATCTGATTCGGGTGTTATGCTCTCTCTTTACAAGAGACAAACAATCTAAAAATGCTGTACTACTGTCGTATTTGAACAGAATCTGCCATTCCTGTACTT